ATAGTCTCTGATCTAGCAACTTTAGGAATGAGGATAATAAGGGTATTGTTAATCTCAGCAGGTAACTGCTCGCCATGGAAGATACCATTGACTATTGCATAAATCGACTCACCTACAGTCTCCCATTAGTTCTAGAAGAACGCCGCATGAAGGTCATTCACTCTGGGGGTCTTTAACGGGTGCATTGTAACACCCCAAATTATTATTATTTTATTTTATTTTAATTTTTTTTTGTAATTTTTAGATAAATATTATGATTTATTATGTAATAATATATGGTTTTAATTTAGTTTAATTTAATTAAATATAAATAATAATAATAATGATAATAATAAAAAGGGATAAAATTATTTTTGGGATTTAATTGAAAATAATTTTGGGAAAAAATGGTGAAAATTTGGGTTATGGGGATGTTTTTTGAAAAGAAAATCGAAAATCGGGGGTCAAAATACAGTTTAAAAAACTTGCACCACATCAGCAACCCCGGCCAACCAGGACACACCGCATGGCAGAGACGTTGACGCGGAAGGCCACGCAGAAGGGAGCCACATGGGCGATCTGCGTCTGCGCGATCGAACGGCTGAGATCTGTTCCCGCGCGCATGGACAGCCCAGATCAAAAGCGCGTACGGACGACCCAGATTGCACACGTACGGAATGTCCAGATTGAATCGTGCACGAACGGCTCAGATTCATTCCCTATTTAATCGCGATCGGACGACCCAGATTAAATCGCGATGGACGGCTCAGATTAAAAGTGAAAGGTTATAAATAATCTCATCCATACCCAAACCCTAACCCTAGCTGCCAAAGCCCTCGCCGGAGAAGACAGCCCAGCCACTGGAGAACCGACCACCGCTACCCGCCGCCGCACCGGAGCACTTTTCGGCCGTCAAATGAGGTAAAAATTCTCCAATTGGCTCGGAATTCGATTCTAAACTCACCTGTGGCCAAATTGAAGCCAAAATACCGACCAATTGGTCGGAAAATACCGCTGAAGCCCAGCGGCGCCGCCATAGATTTTCTCAAATTTTACCTCCGATGAGGCCCTTCCCGATTCCCGTTCAATATAATTTTTCTACCATTGTGACCATCGTTCCTTTCTCTATAGGTTGACCAGAGCAAAACACCAAATTGCGACTCGAGCCAGAGGAGCTGCCGCACCGGAGAGCCCCGCCGCCGATAAATTTCAGTTTTCAGTGTTTTTTTCGGTGCACTGAGGGCCCTTGGGGTGTTTTCTCACAGGAACTAATGCAAGTTTGGCCGAATTTAGCTGAGAACGGCCGAAAAAGGCCAACTCGAGGCGGATCGTCGCCGTGCCGGTATTTCAAAATTGGCCGAATAGGCGTTGGGTATGATTTTTGAGTTATTTGGGACATATGTAGGTACCGTAAGCGCGTTTCAGTTTCTGAAAAAAAAATTCAGGGAACCTAAGGACTGCCCGTAGGAGCAGTGAAAATCCTGTTTTCGGTTTCGAATCAAGTAAGGACCCATCACTTTATTTCCTATCACGGGATTAAAATTTAATAAATAATAAAACTGTATTTTATGAATTAAGTAGATATTCATAATTATTACGGTTACTAATGGAGCCCCGAATCGGACGTATTCCTCTGTTAGTTCCTGTTTGATTTATTTTACAGTCTAAATGTAGTATAGTATCTGAATTATTTATTCTATGATTTTGAATGTATGAATCACTGTTTACTTCATTACGGCTTGATTTTGTGAACTTGATGATATGTTTGCCTTATTGGATGCTCGTTATTTGTTTAAGTATTCATGATTATGTGAGAAACAGAAAACTAAGAAAAAATAAAAAAAAGTATGTGAATTGATAAATGGATAAGTTGACAGCCTCACTAGATATCTTAGGAGATGGTGGACGGACCAGATCTATAGAGAACCCTACCGGGAACGTTGTCTCATACTGGACGGGGTATAGAGACTTTAAATGTTTTGGCGCTCATACCGGACGGGGTATGGGGACGGCCCACTTTACCCTCATACCGGACGGAGTATTGAGGTTTATTGTTTTGGCGCCCATACCAGACAGGGTATGGAGACAACCCTGAAATCAAGTTATTAAAGTTAATGGTTCACGTGTAGTGGGGACCCCTATGGATCCCCATGGATACTGGTAGGCTGATAAAAGAGGAAAATTGTTATTTGATTATTGAAATATAAAAGTATGACATGTGCTCTATTACAAAGTATGTATGAATTCATGTATCTTTGATGTTATTGTTTCTATGGGTCGTTTCCATAAATTTCACCGAGGTAAGTGGACAGTAAAATGTTTTATTATTGATTAATGAATTTGTTAAAAATTATGCTCCATTAGTCGTTTTTTGTTTTTCTACCAATCTTTACTTCTGTGACAGTGATATAGTGTGACGTCTTTACTAGGCTAGTGTAACTCATTCCTTACTTAACCATTTTAGATTAGGAGGACTTGGTTCCCGAACCCATTCCACAGGAAGACGGCGAGTAGATGTCTAAATATTTTATAGTTTTCCTTATAGTATTTCATTTCTAGTATTTTTTTTAGTTAACTTATTCTTTTATATTGTTAGTACGTTTCGGTTATTGTATAAGGGATATTAATCAAAACTTTTTATTTCGCTTCCGCACTCAAAATTTTTATATAAATTTTCTATACATGCTAAATAAAGTATCATAAATTTTATGGTTTGTTATCTCATACTCCAATTGAGTAATCACAGTAGCTGTTAACTTCGAGAACAAGCCTCTAACAAGGTAATATTCCACTCTCTGTAAGCGCTCATCCAACATGAACTTAAAAATGAGTGGTTTGGTCAAATCAATTCCAACCGCCAATTGAGCAAACTTGCCCAATTCAGTGGATTCAGTGTTATACTCAATGCGAAATATCTTCCCTATGACCTTAGAGATAGTTCTGATCACACTTTTATGGTAATAATGGATGGACAGGCCAGGAAATCGCACCCAGGCCACCACATTAGTGACATCCGAATTTGTAATAGAGAAACTAAGGGACTAAAGCTGCACTGTGAGGTAATGGCCATATATAACCCATGGGTCATCCGTAAGAACGTGTAGGTAGTCCTCTATTGAGTGGAACTTGACCATGTAGTAATCATTATCTAGGTCAATTAGGTGTAATCGATCATTAGGCTTCCACAAGCTATGAAGTTTTGGCCAAAGTGCTTTATACCCAATCGACTTCCCAAGCAATTGAATAATCACTATAAATTTCATATTTTATATTAGGAGGTTATGCACTTTATTCGAAAAATTAATTTTTGTTATTCCATTCTCCATGTCAAACTTAATATCCCTGTCTCTCATCTCAATTTCATCTCGACTGTTAGCAGCCTAATGACTATTGATGAGTTTATTTTTAAATGAGAGTTTCACATTTAGTATTTCTTCCAACGAAAGAGATTTCCCAAAGGTGTGTGGGTTTGCGATTATTTATCGCCATACATAAGTTTTTATGAGCATTGTAAAGTCATCCCAGCATTCATTGTTTATAGCTACATTAGTTTTTGGTCAGAATAAAAATAAAAGCAAACTGGAATCCATCTTCATTATAATATTATAGCTTACACAGGAGTGCTATTACTATTCCAGCCAAAGGTTCAATAAAATATACATGTGCAAAAGAATTATAAATAATCAAGTACGAATTGATGTATATATACATATATATATCGATAGAATTTTTTTATAGATAGAGATTAATAGAAAATTGTTTATGCAGTGGAGTGATGGGAGCAGAGATGAATAGAAATTTCTTTTCACTCAATTGAATTATAGAACAAATATAATGAGATACTCCACCTTCCTCCCCCCATATATGTATGTATGTATATCTATATATAGGGTTACTTCTTGTGGTGTTAATATCCTATATATATATATACATACGGTGACCCACAAGTCAGCATGTGGATTATTAGTAAATATGTAGAGTTGAGTGTATTTAATCAAATATCCTATATATATATATATATATGGTCACCCACAAGTCATCATACTGATTATTAGTAGCTATATATAGAGTTAAGTGTATTTAATCAAATTAAGAAACATTACTATTACATTTTGTTTTTCATTTTAATCCTATATTTTACTATTTGCACGCTATCAAAAGTTACATAAATATAAATTAGGTGTATAAATATCTTTCACCTTTCCTAATTAACCATTTTTTCTTTAATTACTTTCCTCAAAATGGTAATTAATATAAGTTAAATTTAATCAATAAACTAAATTGGTCAAGGTCAACTTAAAAAAAATAGAAAAACAAAATGTAAGGAAAAATATTATAAAAGTATCAAATATTGAGAAATAATTTACCTATAAGTAAAGAGAGCTATGAACATTCAAAATAAAAATTGCTTCAAAATCTATATAGATATTAAAGTGCAAAGTTATGATGTTTAATATAAAGTTTTTAACACATTATATGAATTATAGTATATTATTTTAGGATTATATTTATTTTAATACAATCTGTAAAATTTAATGAGTTTCCTAAGTTCAAAAGAAAAATTTTTTAAAATAGAAATTCAAATGCAAAGTTATAATATAAATTAGAAACTGTGATTATAATTTTTAAGACATTTTTTTGAGTATTATAGTTATGATATTATTGGTGGAATCTTAAAAATGTGTTTGAAAAGATATAATTTTTCATAAATTTATTTTAAAAAATATAATGTTTCAAAAAAAATTATTAAAAAAATAATAGATGATAAAATTATTTTAAAATATAAGTTTCTTTGCTTCAAATTTTGATTTTATAGTTCTTATGATATTATTGTACATTTCCCAAAATGTTAAGTGGGTTCATATGAAAATTAATTTTAAAATAATATATTGAATTAACTTATAATTATTACCCTTTACATTAGAAGGTCCAATTATAGAAAAATATCTGAAAAATTAAAAAGATAATATTTGAGGATATCTTACCTTATTTGAAGATTTTCTTAATCTGAGGCTCTGGTATGTACACTGTATATAGGCAATATTACATTTCTCTGTCTATGTATACGTAGGGAAATTGAAATGAAATACATCGATCAATATTCATCAATGGCTACCGTAATAGGTAGAATGTTGGCCAATTACAGCAACTCTCATGAATGGCTACTTCCCACCATTTTGCTCCTCCTCCTTCCTCTCCTCTGTCTTCTTCTCAAAAACAAGAAAACAACAAATTCTAACCTGCCTCCAACCCCTCCTAAACTTCCCATCATCGGCAACTTGCACCAACTCGTCGGCGGCTTAGCCTACCGATCTTTTCACCGGCTGAGCCAAAAACATGGTCCTATCATGCTCCTGCAACTCGGCAGCGTACCGGCAGTCGTTGTATCATCAGCTACCATGGCTAAAGAAGTCATGAAGACCAACGATCTTGACTGTTGTACGCGGCCAGCTTCCCCGGGTCCGAAGAAACTCAGCTATAATTATTTGGACATAGCTTTTGCTCCTTATAATGATTACTGGAAAGAGATGCGCAAGCTCTTCATGTTTGAGCTTATGAGCCCTAAGAGGTCTCAGTCTATTTGGTTCGCCAGGGAAGCTGAAGTTGACAAACTGCTGGATACTTTGGCTCAAGAATCGGGAAACCCAGTTAAGCTCGATGATAAAATATTTGGTCTTGTCGATGGGGTAATTGGCACTGTTGCATTCGGGAAGATATATGGAAAAGATAAGTTCCAGAAGCAGTTCCAGAAAGTGCTTAATGAAGTCATGGATGTACTGGGTAGCTTCTCCGCCGAGGACTTTTTTCCATTGACAGGGCGATCGGTGGATAAGCTGACAGGGCTCAGTGCTAGGCGAGAGAAGATCTTCGTCCAGGTCGATGCTTACTTACAGAAGATGCTAGATTTGCACCTTGACCCAGCCAGATCTAAACCTGAACAAGAAGATCTGGTTGATATTTTGATTGAACTTTGGAGAAATCAAACCAGTTCAGTTCATCTTACAGCTGATCATGTCAAGGCAATTCTCCTGGTAAATTATGATAAATTATAGTAAATTCTATATGAACACAGGTTAGAGTTTAACTTGCATAGTTCTTGGCTCCTTAACTTCTCTTGTTTGTTTCCTGCAGGATACATTTCTTGGCGCAATAGACACTAGTGCAATCACAATACTATGGACAATGTCAGAGCTAATGAAGAACCCAAGGGTGATGAGCAAATTACAAGCTGAAATCCGAACTTGCACCTTGCAAAAACCAAAAGTGTTGAGCGGAGACGACGTCGCGGAGCTCAAGTACCTGAAAATGGTGGCAAAAGAAACTCTCAGATTGCATCCACCAGCACCTCTGCTACTCCCTCGAGAGACCATGCGCCACTGTAAATTAGGTGCCTACGATGTGTACCCTAAAACAAGAATCTATGTCAATGCATGGGCGATAGGAAGAGATCCGAAAAGCTGGCGAAACCCAGACGAGTTTTACCCGGAGAGATTTGAAGATACTGATGTTAATTTCAAAGGGTATCATTTTGAGTTGGTGCCATTTGGTGCCGGTCGTAGAATTTGCCCTGGGTTGGCCATGGGAGCTGCCAACGTTGAGTATACGTTGGCTAACTTGTTGTACTGGTTTGATTGGGAGCTGCCTGGTGGGATGACGAGAGATGATATTAACATGGAAGATGAAGGTGGACTTGTTGTTCACAAGAAGATACCTCTCTGCCTTGTGCCAATCAAATATTGCCGTGCCCAGAATTAATTTTCGTTGAACTGTTCGCATATCATATCTATGGTTTACTTAATAAATTTTGAAAATAAAAATTTGATATGTTAAATTAGTTACGTGAAATTCAGGATCAACGACACAATTCGAAACACACGCATGCACAATTCCCCATGAATCTTCCTCTTCTCTGTTTGTATCTTCTTTTAGACATGCTTGAATGCTTGGAGTTTCCTCTGAACGAGTTTAGCCGCTTGAAGTTGCCTTCGACAGTTCAAACCATGACATCTTAGACTCGAAGGGTCCAAGCTGGGATCTCCTAAATTTGACTGATTTTTTGAATAGTTCTACTGGTTCATACTCGCATCAATCAGATAATAAATTTGAAAACTATATGTAATACATTTTAAATTTTATTTTTTATAAAAGTTTAGAACAAACAAAGCTAGCTGAAAATCTTAATAATTATTTCGTAGCAAGGCATCAGTTTCTACTTGTTCTAAATTCTAATTCTAATATATGATTGAATAATAGTCTTATTTTCAAAGTTTAATTTGAAATGTACTTTTTTTAGTTTTATTTTGTATAAATATATATATATATATAAACTTGAAAGTGATTTAATTAGAATAAGAGTGAGTTCTTTTTAGGTAAAGTAATTAGAAAAAGTAATTGGAGTATCTGATCATTCCCCAAGCTGAAGATCAAATCGCCAAACGAAAAAAAGCCAATTTTCCATCAATGCGACGAGAAGAAAGAAGACGAAAGTTCCGTGAAGCTGTTCTCGATACGCTTTATCCTGCAACGTCACCACAAGTACTGTCTCTGTCCTGCTATTTTTCTTGCTTTTTCTCCTTGGTTTCGTCATTTACTCGTCGTAATATTTTGTTTATAGCCGGAGTACGACAAGGAGCCGGCGTCTGGACCAGGTGAATTGTTTGATGCGGAAGCTATAGACCCAGGTTTGGTATTGGCTTTTATTGCTTATAGTTTTTGTTGGTTGGCAAAATGAAGTATACTCATTTGAGAATTGTTGGACCTTGAATGAATTCAGATGATTTTGTAAAGGGCGATATCTGTACAAACGACGATGAAACCGAGCATCAAAATCTGAGTAGAGCCCAGAGGAAGAGACTTCGCAAGAAGAAGCTCAAGGAAGAAGCTTCTCGTCGCGGTAAGCTTATTGGCCCTCTGTTACCTTCATCAACCAGCAATGATGGCGGCCCGAGCGACATAGCTGGAAACGAGTCTCAATCTATTCGAGAAAATGCGGATGAGGAACATGATGGTCCACAATCTGTTCGACAAAATGCTAGCGAGAAGCCAGGTTTGATTCTACGATCAATTCAACTGTTTCCTCTTCGAAATTTGAATATGATTACGTGGGCTATGGCAATTAATCTGGAGAAGTCTGTAAATTTGATGTTCAGAAGAGAAAGATGGGTGTAGTAATCAGAACAAGCTGAAGCAGAGGAGAATGGCTAAGAGGCTTGCCAAAGAAAGAGCTGAAAATTGCGGTCAAGAAGAAAGCTTCAAGTCCTTTGAAGCAGAAATTTGTGACCAAAAAAATTTGGAGCTTCCCAGTGCAGAAAATGCTCAACAAGATCTATCAGTTATTAAATTTGATAGTTAAAAGAAATGATTTTCTTAAGAGTTGGTGTAAAATGCCCTTCCGCTCCCTTGTTCTCTGTTTTGTCCCAAAGTTGTTACCTTTCTTGTTTTTATCTTTTGGAGATTTTGTAAACAAAAGGGTTAAAATTTCATTAAACATTTCTTATGACTGACAAGATGGTCGACCACTTACGATTGTCATTTGAGAAACTCACTTGAAAATGTAAAAACTTCGCGAGTTAAAGTTCGAAGAAATTGTCCGTTGTTAAAAGACAGATGAAAATTGAAATATGTAATTATAAAGTTTGGAGCTTTTTTTTTTTTTTTTTTTTTAAGTGAAGTGGACTTTGGAGCTTCTATTTTGATTCTTGAAAGCTTCGGTTTGCTTCCTTAGAAAAAGGTTTTAACTTGACATCGGGAGAATCTGAAATTACAATATTGCCCAACCAATCGGCATAAAATTTCTGGTTTAGTCTACTCCTCCTCCACCTTCTAAACCAAAAATCTCTGGTGAAAACCCTAAACCCTACTGCCTCCTTCCAGAATCTCCAACTAAGCCACTAAAAAATGGCGGAACTAAAGCTGTCGGAGACCCGAGACCTAACCCGAATCGAGCGCATAGGCGCACACTCTCACATCCGTGGCCTGGGCCTGGACTCCGCCTTGGAACCCCGAGCGGTCTCGGAGGGCATGGTGGGTCAGTCGTCTGCCAGAAAAGCCGCCGGCCTTATCCTCCAGATGATTAAGGAAGGAAAAATTGCGGGACGTGGCGTTCTTATAGCTGGTCAGCCAGGCACGGGCAAAACAGCAATTGCCATGGGCATGGCTAAGTCGCTGGGCCTGGAGACCCCTTTCGCCATGATAGCCGGCAGCGAGCTCTTCTCCCTGGAAATGTCGAAAACAGAAGCCCTAACCCAAGCTTTCCGCAAAGCCATTGGGGTCCGAATTAAAGAAGAGACCGAAGTCATCGAGGGTGAGGTGGTTGAGATCCAGATCGACCGACCTGCTGTATCAGGGGCAGCCTCGAAGACCGGTAAGTTGACATTGAAGACCACTGAGATGGAGACTGTTTACGACCTTGGCGCCAAGATGATAGAGGCCTTGGGGAAGGAGAAGGTGCAGAGTGGAGATGTGATTGCCATAGACAAGGTCTCGGGAAAGATAACGAAGTTGGGTAGGTCGTTTACGAGGTCCAGAGACTACGATGCCATGGGCCCTCAGACCAAGTTTGTGCAATGCCCCGACGGAGAGTTGCAAAAGCGAAAGGAGGTTGTGCACTGTGTCACGCTTCACGAGATCGATGTCATCAACAGCAGGTATTTATCTCTTCTTTTCTCTTATGATGATGCCAGTGTTGAGTTAGTAGTTCATGTTCATGGGAAGTTGTTAGCTTTTTCAGATGGAGGTGGTCAAATTCAGCTGAGTGGTACATATGAATTATGAAAGCTTTGGAAGAAATTCAGATTAAAATATTAAAGATTACAGTATACAATGATCATTTTGTGACATGCGTTATAGTTTATAAGCTTGATACTGAGAGAATCCGTCGTTTTGATTTTCCTGGGTTTGGTGTTTTAGCTTCAATTGGCATATCCATGCTGTAAAAATAGTCCAATGCAGATTACCATGTAATACATTGTGTATTCCACAATAATTTCCATGTCATATTACGCTGTTACAGTGTTTATGAATTATGAATTAGTTGATTGTTGCAGAAGTTTTTAAGAAACATAATGAAGTTTTTATTTTTGGATTCTTCCTTTTTAGTTGTTAGGTGTTGAGCATTTTGCTTTGTTTCCGGCAAAAGAAGTGTATTGTAGATAAGGCACCAAGGGGATGCCAACCATGTACATAAGAGTGCAAAAGCTAATGTTTTTCTATTTCAGGATCTTTCTAAGATCTAAACTTCTCTTCTTTGGACATACTGGCCGTTAACCCAAAAAACTAGGTTCTTTAACCAGAAGTCATGAACTTTGTGAAATTAAGAAGCCTCTCTTTCAAGGCTCCTAGCTTTATATCTCTCTGAATTGTGACAAACTTGAAAATCGTAAGGTTTAACGGTACTCTTGTTGTCTAGAACCAGCATGCCTTGTCATGTCCAAATTTCCTCCTGAATGGAACCAGCCACCTCCAACTCTATGGTACAAATATTTAATGCAACTTTCCACAACCTTCTAGTCCAGCTATACCAAAGAAGTAAATGGCATGGGGATTCTCCTTCACTTTACACAAGAAGCATCCAGTAACCAGATTTTTCCTTTTTTAATAAGACTGTCTATTGTAAACTATGTTCAAGCAGCTGCCCAACAAAAAGGAAAACAACTCAACAGGGAGCAGTACTTTACCAAATGGCTTTTCAGGAAAACTTATTTTTGTCTGCATTCATGAAATTTCTCGTAAGCTCCTTGTGGCAGCTTCCAACCTTAAAGACCCCTTTCTTAGAGACACTCCAAACAGCCCTGTACCTCCCACATGCCTGAATTTTTACCCATGAATAGCAACAAAGAAACTAAGCACTGATCCTCTTTCCAGTCACTAAAATGGAGATCCGAAAGGACCAGAAATTGGTTCATCAATGATTGATTGGTGCAAAAAGGGTCCTTTCAAGTTAAGATTGCTTACATACTCTGCTGCAAAAGCAGTTTTGACTAGAGATACTCCATTCCTTCTAATTCACTTCCACACGCCTGAACCATGGGGCTCAAACACTTCATCAGAAATCGACCATCATCCCTCCAGCCAATATCCAACAATTAGAACTCTTTGACAAATTAGACTCTCCTCCCAAAGAAATTTCCTGAGCACTTGGCCGCAAAGGCATCAAATTTCAGTGTAAACTAGAGGCCATATTGCCTTTATTGATAGGCGACTTAATTGAATCCAACCCAGCAGGACAGAACTTCCTACTACCTTCCAGATCACACGAAGGAAACCACTTTGAATTTTCCCCAACCTCTTAGAATCTTCCTTTCAATGTGAAAAGAGGCATATAATAAACCTTAAGTTTTTGCTGAGTGCTTTCAACAGGAGTAATTCTTTCCCCTTGGAAAGATAAGAATTACTAAATTTCTCTCATATTTGTTGACAAGAAGAAGTATTCGAGTTCTACCTTTTATCCAACTCCAAGGAATTTGAGATGGGAGCAGGATTGGTCAACTGTGATTTGTGAATCGAACACTAAAAATGTGACTAAATTCTCCATTCCAAGAATGTTGTGGTAATAAAGTTAAATAGATAGGATAGAAAGTCAACCAACCTATAGTCTTATTGAAGCTAATGAACATGAAGATGCTGTTCCTCTTGAGAAAAAAGAAGAGTTTGCTGAAGTTGAAGGCATGTTGTTGTTCCTCTTGGAAGGAGAAAAAACAAGAGTTTATTCCTATTTATGACTACATTGTTTTTGTTCTTTGCAGTACCTTTGGTGCAGAAATTGATATTCTTCCGAATCAAGTTAAGAATGGTATATCTTATTGTTAAGATGTAAGAAATTGACCTTCTTTTGGATCAAGACAAGAATGACATATTTTATGGTTAATATGTTTTGTTCTCTTATTTTTTCTCCTTTCTTTGGGCCAGAAGGAGGAAATTGTCCTCTGCTAATATTGTTGAAACGCGGGATGCCACCCCACTCATTCTATGCTTATAGACATGCATGCAACTCGCTTTGCTTTATGTTTATTGCTTAAGTTGTGGCTTTCTACAGTATGTAAATTATTTGGCATTGCTAACTGTAGCTTCACCTTTTAATTTCAGAACACAGGGATTTTTAGCTCTCTTCACTGGTGATACAGTGAAATTCGTTCAGAAGTGAGGGAACAGATTGATACATG